CAAGACTGCCTTATGTGCTGTGTTAAGGTGAACGTGGGAGCCAAATCTGCATGAAAAGAACGATAAGCAGGTCTAATCGTTTAAAAATAGTTTTGATGTGAACCCTGGGCCTCGGCATAAATATCCAGTGATGGACATGCAAAATATTAAGCTTGGAAAGTACGCACTCCCCACCAATACTATAAATAAATAAATAAGATTAGTAAATTATTTGGCGTTATTATTTTGCTCCGAAGGATGGCAGAGGAAAAAAATCTGTCCTTCATCTCACCCCCCAAAAACACGCTCTGTGCCAGGAAGTGTTATACATACTTTACTTACTATACCTATATTTTACTTAACAGTAGCAAAAAAACTTATGAGATAGTAACCTTTTTATTCAGAAGTTCACATTGTCATAGATCATGGTCCCGATTTATAATTTAATTTTTTTTTTTTTATTTAGTATAGGGTCTCACTGTGCAGCTGGGACTCAGTGATCCTCCTGTTTTCAGCCTCTCCAGCTCTGGAATTACAGGCATGCACCACCATACCAGGTCCCTGCTCCCCCAGAGCAGGGCCTGCATGGCCTGTGGTGCAGGCGATTGAACCCCAGTCCCTGCGCTTGCCTAAGCAGGTGCTTAGTCTGCTGAGCTATCTTGCCGGCCCCAGGTTTATAATTTATGTTTCTTTTCAATTAAAGTTTATTCAAATGCCTGTCCCACTTTGATGTAAATTTCACCAGACAATAGTTAAAGTATCATTGTACTTTCTTTAACATTAAGGCATTATTAAGATTGTGCAATTCAAATATTTGCCCTCTATTAATTTAGTTCCATAAACATGTTAAACTTCTTAAAAAATAATTTTGAAACTAACATAACTAATCCTTTGAGTTACATGGAAGATAAAGGTCTAGAGAAGTTCTAGTCTGCTACCTCATAAAGGCTAACCCACCAGCCCTCCCTCCCCACCCCATCCCTATAATTCTGGGGTCTTTTCCTGATCTGTTTCATTTGTGGTTATTACCCTGTTATGAACAGTGGAATCATATACTTACCACTGTCCATTACAGTTCACTCTGGGTACAATTTGGAGCTGTTTATTCTGCCATGCACATTATTCAGCTGCACACTGTTTCCCATTATTAAGCATTCTGGTGAGAACACTTAACTTGCAAAGAACTACACCCTAACTGAAGGGACTGGAGATCATGCTGAGAAGGCCTATGGAAAGACATTTAGTATTAATCTAATATGTGTTAAGTATGAAATCCTTGTCATAATACACATTGTGCCTTCATTCCATAAATGCTGCTATGTGCCCGATCTTGCTTTAGGTACCGATCATTAAAGATGCTTTCAGAAACCTTAGGGTTGGAGATAACAGCTCAGCAGCACAGTGCCTGTCTGGCAAGCAAGAGGTCCTGAGTTGATTTTTATTAAATAATAAAACATTTTTATTATTTAGTAAATATGTTTGACAAATACAACCTCATTCCAGAAACTAAGAATATAGAGATACAAGACATGATACAAGGGGCCAAGGATTTAGCTCAGTGGTGCAGCACCTGCCTGGCCAGTGTGAGGTCTGGAGTTCAATTCCCAGTACTACCACCCAAAAAAAGATATGATGTCTGTTTGTTTTCAAAGAGCCTATTATCGGGGCTGGTGAGATGGCTCAGTGGTCTAAAGCACCTACTTAGAACAAGCTTAGCAAAGCACAGGGAC